CTGACCTCATCTCCAGATAATGTAAATGCCAGAGAATATTTTTTTTGGTGTGTCTGCTCTTTTGTGAAGGCGCTTCCGTTTTTCTTGCTCATCTGTCTCACGCTCACTGAATAATCAAACTAAATGTGCCTAGAGGCAATGTGATCCCAGAGCCAGCCAACACATATCCTAGGCTCTGCCCTTGATGCTCATGGCAATCCGCTGCAATTGGAGGGAAAAGAGAAAAAACTCAGTTAAAACTGGATCTTACAAGTACAAAACAAAACAAAGAAAAATGCTACCTGTACACTGGTTGGAGAGCTTGATCAACGTATTTTAGTGGTTGTTTCTCCATTTGAAGAGTTCCCCTTGCAGGATAAAAGTCTATTGCTAAGCAAACATGAGTCGCAATCTACAAGGAAAAAGTCAATTTAGAAAGCAAGATCAATCCCGGAATCTCTCTTTCAGCACATGCGCAATTAACCTGTTCAAAAGATCAGTGCAAGTTTTAAGTCAGAAATATCACATTGTTTCTGCTGATTATGACGCTCTTATGCATGCTCTTCATGGCAAAATACTGGCAGGAACCTTTCAACTCTACTAAATTTACACTTGCATCACAAAAAGGCTTTTTAATCCCATATATAAGAAACGACTATGAAAAAACTCACCTTCATGTGTCACCAAAATCTAGAGATTTGACAGACTGAAAATGGTGGAGTCAGTTTCTCACCACTAGTTTGAATCTGCATTTAAAACAAACAAGAAAACTGGAGAAGTCATCAGACTAAACATGCGCTCATGAATCTTTCTAATAGCACCCCAAGAGTTTAGATAAACAGCTTTAAAGTGTTTAGCCCAAAGGTCGTTGGTTGTCTTGTCTGGACACGCGAATCTCTATCACCATACTCCCTTCTTTAAACGTGCTATTGGCATAAGGCATATGGCATCCGGCGTCTTTTATTCCATTTTTAGAATATTATTTGTGAATATGCTTATAATCTAACGGTTCAAATTCAAAAACTTCAAATAGATGGCATAGATCAAGTGCCAAAAAGGGGTGGCAACGCTTCAATGTGATTTTAGTGATGCTCCAAATCAAGTGAAATTTTTTAGGGCGATTAGGCAGATTGTGAGCTACAATCTCTGTGTGTGTGTGTGTGTGTGTTAATATTTCCTTTAGTTGGAGCAAGGTTTTGGAAATGAAGATCGTGTGCCCAGATGAGACAAGCCATTTGCTAGGGAGAAAAGCTGAGAAAATTGGTGAAATGGCTTTATATTTTTTCATTTTTGTGTTAGAACTAAAACTTTGCAGCTTTCTTTCAGCCTATGCAAGACAATGATTTAAATCCAAGCCTTCAGGAGGAGTACATCCCTGCTGTAAACAACTCTCCTCCATCCCCCTTGCTGCCATCAGCAAATGGTGGGCTTTCCAAGGAGATAAACATGGAAGAAAGTGATGTCAAGTGCTGCACGATTATGGAGAGATTGATGTTCCAAACCGGCACCAACCAAGTCCATGCTCACTCCCACCCAAGGCCCCTCGGTCCCAGTCTCAACCTCAAATCGGTTTGGAAGCCCCACTGGAGAGTCTCTTCAAAACTGGTTCCTGGACCTCACTATCCCTACTATACTTTTGGAACCCTCTGCAGCCCCCCCCCCCTGGGAGACGCATGCTTTGGGCTTTCACCCCTTGACCTATATTAGTATTTGGACTTAGTCTCTGGCTCAATCTCGGACCCAATTTCGAATCCGACTTCGGATTCGGTCTCGGACTCGGTCTCGGACTCGATCTTGGACCCGATCTCGGACCCGACCTCGGACTCGACCTCGGACTCGGTCTCGGACCCGATTTCGGATCTCGGACTCCGTCTCGAACTCGGTCTCGAACTCGGACTCGAACTCAGTCCCCGAGTCGGTCTCCGACTTGATTCCGGACTCTATCTCGAACTCGGTTCTAGAGTCGGTCTTGGACTCGATCCTCGACTTGGTCCCATCCGATGAACTCTTTGTCATTTTGGTCATGCTTTCGGGGTTCCTTTAGCCTACGACATCTCGGCGAGTTGGTTCCTTACAACTCCACCACCCATAGAAGTTCGATGCCCACATCGAACGTCTCGTTTTATCCTACGACTTGTTGACCATGTCTCCGGGGGCATCCCCCCACTTAGCGGTGTGCCTAAGTTAGCCTCCCCGGCCAAGAGCCCATGACAACGGAATATAGGTGTCCCTATATTCCTCACCTCACCACACCCTAGTATGGGGTCGGGACTTGAACCCAGCCTTGCTTTACTAGGGGGTTGGGACTCGAACCCAACCTCCGTAGAATATGTCTACGGATTCGACATCCCCGCAGGGAGTCGGGCGTAGCTCCCTACGCCTGGTCGACCTAGCTAACCCATGCTAATTAGCTTACCTTCGGCGCGCCTTCAGGTCCCAACATATGCCACTTGCTCAACTTTGCAAATTGATATTTTTAATTGAACTTTGCATAAGTACATAGAGTTCTGCCTTGCAGAAATTCCTCCACTAGATCTCGCGTGTTCGCTAGGTTCTCCTTCGGTTCCCATGTTGCTTCGCAGTGTGGAAATCCTTTCCACTTCATATGGAACTCTCTCACCTCGCGTCCTTGTCGCTTGCTCTTGCGCGCATTGAGGATGGCCTCGACTTTGTATTCCTCTTCCCCTTGGATAACCTTAGGTAAAGGTCTTACTTGGTCCTTGCGAAGCAGATCCTCAAAGTACGGCTTGAGTAAGTTCACGTGGAACACTAGGTGCATCTTCCCCATCTCTTGAGGACGTCGGAGTCGGTAAGCCACTTTACCGATTCGTGCCTCAATCTCGTAAGGCCCCGCGAACTTGCTTAAGGAACTCAAGATCAATTCATTTATAGGAATACATGCATTTTTACCTTTGGGTCAACTTTCGGCTGTCCCACTTGGTAGCCTGAGGTTCTTGGTGTTCAGCCACACCTTCTCCCCAGCTTGGAACTCTACATCCCGGCGCTTTAGGTTCACGTACTTGGTTTGCCTTTGTTGAGCCCGTTCCAAGGAATCCCTCACTAGATTCCAAATGTTGAGTCTTTCCGCCGTGAATGCCTCCACTGCGGGTAGCTCTCCATGATACTTGGCCACGCCGAGTTCCACAGGACCTTCAATAGCTCGCCCATTGATGACTTCCCATGGACTCACCCCGATACTCGAATGTGGTGAGTTGTTATAACACATTTCCGCAAGTCCCAAATGACTTACCCAATCGGTCTGGTCTCCCGAGACATAGCATCGCAAATAATCCTCCAGCTGCCTATTCACCCTTTCTGTTTGTCCATCTGTTAAGAAGTGTTAGTGTCACCAAACTTGACTTAATACCCCATACCTGTCTGTGGGTGATAGGCGGTGTTGAATTTCAACTTGGTGCAATACTATTCTAGGAGAGTCCTCCAGAACCTACTAGTGAAGATCTTATCTCGATCTGAGATGATCTCTTCTAGCCTTCCCCGCACTCGAACCACTTGTTCAAAGAACAGCTTCGCCACACCTTTCGCATCCACTTCCGTTGTGGTGGGTATGAAATGTGCCATTTTCGAAAATCGGTCCACCACCACGAATATCGCATCAAACCCCTCGCTTGGGGGAAGTCCCGTGATGAAGTCCATCGTAAGACATTTCCACGAACGATCTGGAATTGGGATGCTTTGCAACAAGCCCCCACTAGCCTTAGTCACGGCTTTGACCTGCTGACATGTTGGACATGTCTTTACATAGTCTTGGACGTCCTTAGCCATATCTGGCCAATGGTACTTCCTCTTGAGTAAGCCCATCGTCTTGGGCACTCCGCCGTGTCCCACAAGAGGTCCGTCATGACACTCTTCTAAGGCTACCTTTCTTAGTTCCCCTTC